ATACTAGCCCAATGCTCTTCCAACTGAGCTACGCGGTCAGGACGGTTCGAGTAAGTGATATTTCGGAACAGAATCTAGTTCCTTCGATACCAATGTATTCTAGTAATATGAATTTTTTTCTGTGTTGGTGTAGTGTACTCAGGTGAAGTACAGGTGAAATCAGGTGAAGTGAAGCTCGCCCGGTGTGGATATACACTCAGAGTAACACCACAAATATCATATTCACCTGAGTACACTACACCAACACAGAAAAAAATTCATATTACTAGAATACATTGGTATCGAAGGAACTAGATTCTGTTCCGAAATATCACTTACTCGAACCGTCCTGACCGCGTAGCTCAGTTGGAAGAGCATTGGGCTAGTATTCCAAAGGTCGTAGGTTCGAATCCCACCGTGGCCGGGCATATTTTTCATACTCGCCCGGTGTGGATATACACTCAGAGTAACACCACAAATATTATATACAATACGTTTTAATATATTTATCTCGAATATATCACTGTGTTATTTTAATGTCTATTTTATTATCTTCACCTATTTCTTAAACATATAGAAGGCAAACACAACTTGAATATAAAATATACATGTAAAAAGAACAGGAGGCGGATACTCCACTACATTTTACACAAAAAGAGTTTATACCTGTATTAATTTATTAATGTACAACAGATATAAATGGGCCCGATTGTGGATGTACTCAGACCTTCCAACTTGGTAACTTGAAAATGAGTGAGAAACAGAAGTGTCAGAGGGGCTCTAGCAATTGGGGCCCACTGGGCACCATGCATGGGGGTCTGAATGGCATTAACTGACTACTGATATTTGCCTGAATTTTTGACAAAATATCCTAACTGGCAACTGAGAAATGATGAAAAAATGACGAGTTAGCATTTTACAGTAACTGACTACTGACAGCTTGCAATATATCGCACTGACAACTGGCTTAAATTTTAGCTGACAAGTGATACCCAAAGACCCCCATTAAGACCCTCGTGCACCAAAGGCGTGCGACTTTCTATAGGGACCTGTAGATTCACTGAAATGCCATTTCATTTACTTTAGGATAAGATTTACATAATTCTAATGTACAAAAATATCATGAAAAACTCACAAGACAACACTATTTGGACATATTTTAAAAATTATCTACATTGGAGTTTATTTAGTTAATATCCTCCTTTTGTCAGTGCACAACAACTGTTCAAGAAATTATTCATGTTTTACCTATTGATTTATCTGAATTAATGTACCAGAAAACAGTATGATTTCCTATGAACCTTGGTTATCATACACTAGGTTATCATACACTAGGTTATCATACACCAATGCATGATAAAATAGTATCTATGCATGTGAGCGTGAAAAAGATGTTAAATGTGCGAGTTAAATGCACTTATCCTAAGCGCATTTAATGTTAAATGCGCTTATCCTAATCGCATAGTGCATGAAAAGGCACATTTCGGTGAATCTACAGACCCCCATAGAAAGTCGCACATCTTTGGTGCATGGTACTCAGTGGGCTCCAATTGCCAGAGCCACTCCGACACCTTTGTTTCTCACTCATTTTCAAGTTATCAAGTTGGAAGGTCTGAGTACATCCACAATTGGGCCCATTTATATCTGTTGTACATTAATAAATTAATACAGGTATAAACTCTTTTTATGTAAAATGTAGTTGAGTATCTGCCTCCTGTTCTTTTACATGTATATTTTATATTCAAGTTGTGTTTGCCTTGTATATGTTTAAGAAAAGGGTGAAGATAATAAAATAGACATTAAAATAACACAGTGATATATTCAAGATAAATATATTAAAACGTATTGTATATATATTTTACCCCATTCAACTGCTTGACTTGATCCGTCATAAGGGCAATAAAAGGACTAATAATAATAATAATTGGCTCTTTTGTCCATATCTTTGCGTTGGGAGCATGTGAATACATCCACATTTCAGCTAATGGGGCGATATGAAATACTCAAATACTAGTGACTTCCCAGAACCAGTTGGCATGTTTACAAACACGTCTTTCTTTTGCATAAAATTATATAAAGGCGCCACACTGACCGCTCTCGACTTGAAAAATATGACAGATATCTTTTACACAGCGACAAAATAGGTTTAAATCAACTTATCTATGAGGACTTTGCTCATTTTGAAACACCATGTTTCAATTTACTATAAATTAATTATTGTTCTCACACTAAATTATGCAGTAACTATAAACTAGCCAATCAGAAGCAATGGCCAGAAACAGGTCATGGACGTCATCAGTATGGAATGTTTGGGGTTATTTCGCAGACGGACTTACCACGATGGAGTGAATCAGGCTGGCTGTATTCACAGGCTACACATTTGCTGTACCTGAAATGAGTTTGGAAAGCCAATATTAATGTGTATATCAAAGGCCTGCTTGGGAGCCACGTCACATAGTTGGGTAGGGCTTTCTTCGCCAATCACAAAATCCAAGAAAGCTGTGAGTACAAGGTATGTTCATGGAACTATAAACTTCAAGGCTGGCATAAGAAAGCGAAATAGGCTATGCATGGGCAGCATGGCCATGAGCAATTAAATTAATTGTAACTTGAATCAAGCATAACAAATTAAGCAAACAAAACCTGTTCTAATTGACCAAAAAGCTGTGCAACCACAAACCATATGTATTTCAGGCAAGACAATGTCATATTTTTCATTACTGAATCAAGTCCCATGATACCACAATATTCCATTCGAAAATTTACTTATCAAAAATTATCACAATCATCAATAAGCTACCAACCTCCATCAATATTCTGAATTGTGTCATTATTTGAGAATCACTGTATTCTGCATCCAGTTGCTCTACAATTTCATCAGCGGTAATCTGAAATTAATTACCATTACCGAATACTGGTTGCCAAATATTAGGAGCTCTTCCAACAATCCACATCCTTCTAAACCATGTGCAATTTGGAGGAGTGCTGATAGAAATTCACTCAACTGATCCTTGATACAAATTGCCCTACAAACAAGAGTAGTCAAATGAATAGAATACAATAACTATGAACAATTTGAAAGTAAAACTCCATTCTTGTCTATTCATTACTTACTGCACAATGACATCCACAGTAGTTAAGAGAGGATGTCCACAAAAATCAAACATAAAGCGGCCACGACTGAAATATCGATTTTGCTCAAATTTTGTCCAGATATACCTTATTATATCGGAAAATGCACCATATATTTTTTTAGGTCAAATGCTTTTTTAACTTTGAGAAAATGCCGTTTTAACACGACCACCCTAAATCGCCATTTTTTCTGGGAAAATATGTGCTGATTTTACAGATAAATTTCACGACGACAACTGTTTCTATTCGATCTAAAACCCTAAAAATCTTGTTTTCGGTTATTCAAAGGACTGTGTACATGACTTACAGGAAATCTGAGTTACTTTTAGGAATAGAAATAATCGTAGTTTTGGACTATCTTACTTCATTTACGATACCCTCTTAACAAAATCGATTTTCACCATGCGATAAAGCTCCAAATCGATCATGCTTCTACTAGTTGGCTCTTTAATAAACAAGCTTTCAATTGATGTAAATACTTCTTTTGGCAAATGAATACGCGATAAACGACAGCGCGTTGAAATCTTCCGTTTTTGACGTCTTGCAAGTCAAACGCTGTTAATTTATACACCGTCGAAGTAAACAATTTTAATCAAGTATTCTAAGTATTTTACCTTTTGAGAAAAAACATATTCTTGAATGGGAACTTTTCGCTTTGCTAAGTTTAAAAGTGGTCCAGATATCCCGGTATATTTGTAAAAAAAATCATCAAACATCCAGTATTTTGAGACATTGTTGACGGTTGCATGATATAAACTTCAGATCATTATTCAACGTGATCCGGCTACGACCCGGCCGTTTGACTTTAGCGCTAACATATACAAATCGATGAGCTATTTAAGGATTATATTTGCTACTAAATTCCCCCAAAGAACTGGAACTACAACTGCTGTTTTCAGAGGTTTTGATCCATTTTGTCCATATTAATCATTAATGTACCATTTTATTTATCGACTGATGTTTACAAATACGTAAGTTAATTATTAAGCAGCTGTTAGCGTGCGTGTACATGTGAAATGAACGTTTATAATGTTTATCCATATAAGGAGTTTTTATTATTAGTTTACCAGCCCTTATATTTGAATAGTCGTTTTCTTTCAAGTTGTTTTCTTTTTTATACTCTGCAAAGTTGATTCCGAAATGTTAAGGTATTCGAAAAAACTATCGAACTTTTCCATGATATTTACAGAGAAACGTCACAACTGTAAACCCCCCTCCCCCACCCCCAAAATGAACATATGACGTTTCTTGTGGAAAAAATCGATATGTGAGGCTTCCCTAAAACTGCAAGGTTTACACTATTGAATTAAAATCCCACAGACCACAACGATTATACGTATTGATTGTTTCTTGACGATAGTAGACGCGTACGTGCATGCTGCGGAAGAGGTTATTTCGCTGGCCTCAGAGTGACAAAAGGTACCCTGGTTCTAGAGGTTTAAAATAATAAACCTCTGTTTAAAAGCGGCAATTAATTCATCGAGCCGCGCCAATCAGCTTGAATTAGGGTAGATAGTTATGATAAGACAAGGGCCATGCCAGGGCCGCCCATGCATGGAGGTGGCAAAGGGAGCAATCTTCTCCGCGACCCCAGCTCAAGGAAGACAGGCAAATACAAATTTGCAAGGCAATAAAAAGTTTGTCGACAGAGGGGGGTGTAATTGTGGTTCACCGGGGCCCCAAGGGTATAATTGGCGCTGGGGCCCCATATTTCA